CTGACCAGAGCTCCGAAGGGAAAGTCACACGCGTTGGCGAGGATGCCCCGGAAGGCCAACGCACGTCCAAACGTATCCGTCAACAAACTGGCGACCACCCAAATAGGGCCAGGGAAGATGGGGTCAAAAAAAGATCGCACCGCATCGCTACTGTATTCGCGATGCGCCGACGACATCGGGACAAAGCAAACCAAGCTCCGGATCTCGCCGCAGCGCCGATGCATCGGCGATGCGGGCCGATTCTCTGACCCCGTCTTCATCGGCTCCATCTCAAACGGCCTGGAGGCGGACGTCGGTCTTTGCAGGACGGAAGCGGGTCCTGAGAGGAACGGGCCTTTGCGTTCCAGGGCCTTCCCTTGCTGAGACAAACCTCTTCATCCTGAACATGTTTTGACGGCCGCGGGGCCCGCGGAAGGCCCTAAAAGTCCATCTTCCCAGACATCCGACGACATGCTTTATGCCATCCGTGGGCAATTTTGTCGCCCCAGATCCACTCTTGATCACCCTGGTGCCCGAGAACGGACTGGGATGCCGGGACGAAGGGAAACCGCCTGGATGGAGAAGCTCAGTCCTGCGGCTGTCTGGGGCTGGCGGCGCGAAGGGGGGAAGGCTTCCTCGAAAGAGACTGCCACTCAGAAGGCGCAGGCCCTCGATCCATCGACAAGGCCCGCGCATGCTAGCAAGCAGGGGTGCCTCCCAGAAACCGTTACCCTCCCCTTCTGCGCGTGGCCGAGTCTGGGGGCCCTCCCCCGTCCCCCGCACCTCTCCTGGGGTGCGTTCTGACCGGGATCTCGAGGCGAATCCACCGGTGACGACGAGGGCCTCGTAGGAGGCCCCCCAAATGGAAAACGAGGCAAGGGTAGCGGTATATCGGCGGTGAGCCTGGGGGGGGAAGTGAGAAGGGGCGGGCCTTCTCAGAAGGCTCCGAAGTGACCCGGCGTTTCTGAGAAGTTCTCCGAGCCTTCGCCGAAGGCACACAAAACTCCTCAGAAGGCCGGAGGGCTCCCGAGAAGCCCCGCTGCTGAGAGGGCCTCCTCCTTCTCACTTTCCCCCCCTCGCTCGCCGCCGACGTTCCTCCCCCCGATCCCCTCCTCGGGCCTGGCTCGGAGCGGAGCCGTTGCACTCCGCCAGGCCCACGGGCCACGGCGAGCCTGCGTCGACGCAGAGGCCGTCGGCGCTCACGACCTGCACTCCGCCCTCGGCTCCTCCGGGGGCGCGGCCGGGGGCGCGGCCGGGGGCGTGCCGAGGGGCCTCCCCTCGGCAGCAACTCCGACGAAGCTAGGACGAGGACAGCATCGGGTGCGAGTAAAGCGGGAATCTCTGAGACCCGGCGGCTGTGGAGCATGCATCGGGCGCCGCGGCCTTCTCAGAGCATTCCGGAACGCTCTGAGAGCGTTCCGGAACGCTCCCTGGAACGGATTTGTTCTCGTCCTAGCCCCGCCCGAGCAACCCCACCTCCTCGAGTCGTGAAACACACGACGGGCAATGTGCGGCTGCGTTTGGCCTCGTGTCGGACGCGGCCTCACCGACCCCTCGCAAACCATCCCCCTCCGTGACGTCACCCTCGCCTCTCGAACTTCCTTCCAGCCGCATACACACGTCTCGGGGTGAGGCGAGGGGGACGTCACGGAAGGGGATGGTTCGCCAGGGCCGTAGGGGTCGTTTAGGCCGCCCCTGATCCTGGGGCCCTTACTTCGGGGGAAAACAAACCTACCTCGCTTTTGACCACCCTCGCTTCCAAGAGGTACCAAACGATGCCACATTGCGGCCTGTACTGGTCAGACCGCTTGACGAGGAGGCGCTTGGTATGGCTTGGTTTTGCCTGGAAGCGAAAGCGGGGGCGGTAATTCACGCTCTGATTACCCGGCCCCAGGACCAGGTCCCAGGCCCGTCGACGAAGCGGCTCGGGACGAAGAGCCAGTCCAGGGGCTACAGGGTTGGAGATCTGGTCAGGGGGACGTAAGACCTGGGTACAGGGGACTCGGAAATCCCCGACGAGGTCGTCAAAAAATGACGAGGCCGAGCCTGCATTTTGACGAGGCCTCCCGCTGCAGACATCCCACGAAACTCCTCCTCGTCAAAATCCGAGGCGCGGTCGTCAAAAAACGATGGCGAACCCGAGTCCTGGCAAACCCGGGTCTTACGCTCCCCCGATCTGGGCACGCAGCGGTGACCCTGAAGGCAAAAGTGGCCCCTGGCGCGCGGCTCTCGGGAGCCTGGGGGGGGGCCAAAACCAAGTGCGCATGCTGGCTCTGGAGGGACCCTTCGGAAGGGGCCCTGGGACACACAGATAAATACACACAAATGCAAGGATTCCCCTCATATGTTCCTATATGTTCTGGGTTTTTATCTTCCCCCCCACTTCCCAGGTTTTCCCATATTTTCAGGGGATTCGACGATTCATTGTGTCTGTGTGTTTCTTCCCCTCCTGACCCTCGTGGTCCGCACCACGGGCCACTCCTCAGAGCGTGAATTACCTCCCCCGCTTTCGCTTCAAGGCAAAACCAAGCCATACCACGCGCCTCCTCGTCAAGCGGCCTGACCAGTACAGGCCGCAATTTGGCATCGTTTGGTACCTCTTGGAAGCGAGGGTGGTCAAAAGCGAGGTAGGTTTGTTTTCCCCCGAACTCCGGCGAAGGGAGCCTTTCCTGACGCGCAGCCGATCCCCCCCGTCGTGCTGCCAGGTCGTGCCCTCGGCCCTCGAGGGTCGAGGGAGGGAGGGCTTGGGCCGTCTTTGCAGAGGGCGCCCGAGAGGACACGAGTCTCCTCCGAGGTTTGGGTCGGGCGAAAGGGAGGAATTGCAAAGGGGGGGGGTGAGAATCAGCTCACGAAGCTGATTTTCCCGGCGCCTCCCGGCGCCTGAGGCGGCTATGTATCGAGGAATGGGCCCCTCGGTGAGGCCGAAACAAGCTGCATGCAGCAAATTTCGTAACCCCCCCTTTCCCAATCCCCCCCTTTCGCCCGACCCGAGAGGTCAGGGCCTGCTCCAGACACGAAGAGGAAACATCACATGCGGTCGACTGGACACAAGATCGCGCGCGATGTCGAAGGGACGGCCTAATCTCGGGGAGACGTAAGACTCGGGTTCGGGGGACTCGGGTTGGCCTGACGGGGACAGGCTGAGAACGACGAGACCCGATCTGAAACTTGACGCGAGATCTCGCTGCAAACATCGTCGGCAAACCCGAGTTCTGGCGTACTCGAGTCTTCCGTCTCCCCGATAATCCGCCACCGTGCCCCCTGGCACATTGAGGCGTGGCAGCGCGCCGATGGCTGTCTGGTAGGCTGGGTGTCTGTCACCTTCTGGGGGCATCCCCCTCCCCTCCCGGTGGCATCCAGTCAGACGCATCCTCCCCTTTCCTTGGAACCGTAACAACAAATCCGAAGCCAAGGTCCTAGGGCAACTATCTTCGCGATTCGCGCTCCGCGAGGCGCGATCATCTTCGCGCTTTCGCGCCGCCCTCCCCCCCGAACAGGATGAGGGACTCGCGCCTCGCTCTGAAATCGCCCAGACCGCGAAGCGCGACTCACTTCGCACCCTCGTGGTGGCCCTGGAAAGCCGGGCATGCGGGGGAGGATGAAGCGGACGGGAAGGCGCACGGGACCCAGACCCCCGACATTGCGTTTTTCCCCAACTTCGACACCAGAAGCCTGGACCCCTTCCCCGGGGCCCGGCAAGAGACCCCAGAGGCCGAAAACAGTGAAAGACCTCCCGCCGTGATCTTTGTCACGACGCGAGGGGGTCTGGGTGGGCGGAGGGGGGCGGACGAGGGACGTCGCTGTGCGAGCTGCCCGGCATGGCCCCGGGAGCGGGCCACCCCGTCCACGCTGGGCGGGAGGAGGGAGGCCGTGGGCCGCCGACGCCCTCCGACGAGGGGTCGGCAGGGCCGCCTCAAAAGACACCGGCAGCCGCTCTCGCGGGCACGCCGCTCCTCCCGGGCGGCCGCGGAGGCCGACGGCGGCAACCCGCCAGGGGGCAACGCCCGCGCGGCACCGCGGCCGCTCAGATCACTCTCTGAGAAGCTCTGTCCGAGTGCATCGCCGGCCCATCTCGCCCCTGCCCGTCCAGCCTCCCTGTCCTCCTCCTCCTCCTCCTCCTCCTCCTCGTCGTCGTCCTCCTCCTCCTCCTCCTCCTCCTCGTCCTCCTCGTCGTCGTCCTCCTCCTCCTCCCGCTCCTCCTCCTCCTCCTCCTCCTCCTCCTCCTCCTCCTCCTCCTCCTCCTCCTCCTCCCTCTCCCCATTCATCCTCCATCCATCCCTTTCTTTCAAAATATTCGCTCGTCGTCGTCGTCGTCGTCAACGTCAACGTCGTCCCCTCCTCCTCCTCCTCCTCCTCCTCCTCCCTCCTCCTCTCCTCCTCCTCCCTTCCCCTCTCGTCTCTCCCCTCGCCTCCTCCTTCCTCCTCGCCTCCTCTCCTCCTTCCTGCCTCCCCTGTTCCCCCCCTTCCTCCCTTCCTCCATTCCCCCCCTCCCCCTTCATGTCGTCCTCCCTCCATCCCGTTCACTCTCCACCCCTCTCTTTCTCGTGTTATTTCTTTCTTTCTTTCTTTCTCTCTCTCTCTCTGTCTCTCCCTCTCTCTACCCCCCGCTATTGCGCAGCCCTGGCGCCTGGCACAGCCTGGTACTTCCAGCCGCGCTGCGACGCGTCGGTCCTGTTGCACTCTACCCCCCAGGCGTAGGCGGCGGCGAAGTCGTCCGAATCGATCTCCTCCCCGAGCTCAGGGAGACGCGAGAAGCAACCAGGCCGCTCGGACGGGACGAGGGCGATGCAGCCAGCAGCAACAGCTCGACCACGAGGCAACGTCATACTGCACAGGCACAGTAAGCCACACAGATATGAGGCGAGTGTGCCACGCCGCTGGAACTTCGCACCACTTGCCACTACGGCCACGCGGGGTGCTGACTCAAGGGAGGCAGAGGAATGTGACGGACGAGGGAGGGAGGGATAGTGACGCCGGCGAGGGCGAGGCCAATGAATGATGCAGAGTAGCAGCAGTAGCAAGAGCAGTACCCATAGTAGTATTCGTTCCAGTCGTAGCAGCCATGCTAGTAGCAAGCAGGGAGGAGAGGGGGAGGATGACGACAACGGCGACAGCCACGACACACGGAGGATGAGGAATAAGCGGAGAAGGAAGACGAGAAAAAGGGGCAGGAGGACAAGGTATCACCCAGGAATGATGAACGATACGTCAGAAACGTCAACGGGGTGTCCAGCGACAACACAATTCTGAGGAGGAACCGCCCTCCATTCGAGTGCTGCCACGATGCTACACTTGTGGAGATAGTGTTTGAAGATATCTCCGGAGATAGCCCCATCTTGAATCGTGCTGGTCTCCGTATGTGTAACAGGTCGGAATTTTGAAAAGGAATGTGCGCGGCACTTAAGCTTGAACCACACGTTGAACACCACAAGCCCTCCGTCCGCGAAACTGTTGGAAGCTCGAAGCTTCGGGATAACAACAAATTATGCAAAGACGTCTCAGACACGCCTGGCCTGGTCTACGGACACGTCTGGTGCTGCGACAAGAAGCGGATACTTTGAAAGAAAGAAATGGATGGAGGATGAATGGGGAGAGGGAGGAGCAGGAGGAGGAGGAGGAGGAGGGGGAGGAAGAGGAAGAGGAGGAGGAGGAGGATATGAAGAAGGAGGAGGATGAGGAGGAGGAGGATGAGGAGGAGGAGGAGGAAGAGGAAGGAAAACAGGAGGAGCAACAGCAGCAAGCAGGGGATCTCTGAGAACCCGCTCCGTCGCGAAGCCGCTACAACGCCCAGCCCGCCGCCCTGCTGTCCGTTCTCTTCGAGACGTGGGCCCGCAGGCCTCTCGGTCCTTCCCCTCCTCCGCGGCCGCAACCTGGAGCGGACAGCCGATGGGGCAACTTTTTTAGTTGTTCGGGGGGAAGGGGGAAGACAAATAAACATAATAATCACAACAATGTGGGGGCGGGGTCAGGCCAGACGTTACTTTTCGTGCGAGGGGCCGAGGGCGCTCCGAGGCCACAAGCATGCTGGGGACCAAATTGACAAATAAGCGAGAGGAGGGAAAGGAAGGGGGGAAAGACTTGAGCGAGGTAAACGGCGGCGGATCACACACGCAGACCACAAACGCCTCCTGCAGAGCTAAATGTGGGGGCGGGTGCAGGCCAGACGTTACTTTTCGTGCGAGGGGCCGAGGGCGCTCCGAGGCCACAAGCATGCTGGGCACAAAACGGCACCACACATGCTAGCTTGGTAGTCTGGCCCTCGAGGCCGCCACAAAAACAAAACAGACATTAACCCGACGTGAAAGCTTTACATATCCTGGCGACAGCGGCTAAACGCCGTGCGCTGTCCAGCACGGCGTGCACACCCTCAACTGCGACGGCCTTCGGGGTCCTGCGAACTTGGGCCCTTTGGGCCGCGCCCAGGTGAGGAAGCCCGAGAGACCCGAAATGAAACTTTCGAGATCTGTCGCATCTAGCACGCGCACACGAGCATGGCACAGAAAGATTGTGCAAACCCTTCACATGCCAGCCAACGATGCGCCCCGTTCGATGCACACGGCCTTCGTGCATACAAGCGTCGAACGTTGCCCCCGACGGGGCCGACCGGAGCAGCCGTAGAACAAAAGGGAGGTGCCACAGCGCACTGCTGGCAGGGTGCTCGAGAATCGTCGGCACTTTGCACTGCGCACACACGAGGAGCGTACGCAACAGGTGATGGGTATCATCATTGGCGACCTTGACCTGAGCCTGCACACAGGGATTAAGGCGAGGGAGCCCGAGGGGCCGAGCCGACGACCTGGCGGGAGGCTTGGCGCACACAGACCAGGAAGGAAACCCAGGCCGAAACCGCGCCCCCGCGACGCAGGAGCCGCGAATCCAGCCGTGGACGACGAGGGAGACACCAGGCGCAGCCAGGTCGTCGGTCGGGCACCTTCTCGGGTCCAAAACAACACTACCCAAGCTCAGATGACGACGCGCCTTATCGATGGGATTCAAGTGTGCGCCGCACACAAGAAAGATGAAGCGCGGCAGAGCGTGGTTGCGCGAGTTAGCGCGAGAAAAGAGCCTGCTCAGCCGAAGCGCCAACTGTGGCCCGGCCGTGGGGCGTGGACCTGCAAGTGCAGCTTCGCTGCCAGCAGGGCGGCTGGCAGAGGCGGCAGCGAGCACGCTGCCGTAGTCATCCTCGTCGAGACGAGCCCTGCCTCGCGCCCGTCCACGGCGCTGTCCAGCGCCGCCGCGTGCTGCGGGGGCTCGGCGATGAGTGGCTGCCTGACCTGCGACCCGCGGAAGACCAGGCGGATCACCGAGGGCGCGAAGTTCCACCGCGGATCCCTCGTAGCGCGGTGGCGCGTCAAGTCCTGGAGGAGGGGCCCCGAGCTCCCGTTGTCGATGATGACGCTGTCGTCGGTCGCCCCCGTCTTGCCGGGGCCGCCCGTCGTCGCTGAAACCGCGCGCAGCTCCACCAGGCTGGCCGCCACCAGGCGATAGGCCACGCTGGGTTTGAAGTAAATGTCGAACGCCCACCTCCCGAAGACCGCCTCCGCGAACCTCCTGTCCAGTATCGGGGCCTCCCACCGCGGCGAACAGCGCTAAGCGCGCCAGCGAGAGCCGCGCCTGCGGTGCCACTGGGCGGCTCCATCCAGCCCACGAGAGCCCGCGTGGCCCGCGGCAGAGCACGGGGCCCCGCCAGCAGGCGCGGCAGCAGGTGGCGGAGGGCTGCCATCGTCATGCGCACCTTCGCAGTGTCGAACCCGTCCAGGCGGAGGTTCTCGAAGAAGACCAGCAGCAGTGCGTCCAGCCCGGCGGCAATCGCGAACGACTGCCCCGTCCACATGTATCGCTGGTGGAAGCGGCCGTCGCGAGCGTGGCAGAGGTCCTGGGTCCGCTGTGCCACCGCGGGGTCCCCGCGGAACGAGGTATCCCCCTCGGCAACTGCCGCAGCCCTGGGCGCTGAAGTGGTCGCAGGACGTCGGGCGCCTGGGCGGCACTCGGCGACCTGGTCGCCTGTCTCAGCTTCGAAGTCCTTCCACGGCCCCAAGAAGAAGCCCGCCCGCGAAGGGCCATCCGCGACGTTCCGCCCACCCGGAATCCATCGAACGACCGCGCGGATGCCCGTGGTGAGACTGACGGCGGCCAGGCGTCGGAGGAGATGACGCAAGTGCTGGGGGCACGTGCGACCCTTGCCGCAACTCAGAGCCAGAGCCAAATTGTCGACGAGAAACAGAATGCGATGCCCATGATTGCCTGTTTTCCGAGCGGCGTGGCGAACAGCGAAGCAGAGCGCCTCCCCCTCATACTCCAGAATGTTGAGACCCATTCGGCGATGACGACTTGAATGAATGATGACCCACTCCTCCGAATCGTAAAGCACCGACGGCAACTCGACGAAATCCGAGACGGAGTCGACGTCCCCCTCCCCGAGCAGCACGTCCGACGGCGACGAGCAACCGACGGCAGCATCTTGAGCACCCTCATCGCCTCCTCCACCTTCGAACGCATGGGCCATGGCAGAGATCGCCTCCGAGACTCTACGCCGACACTTCTCAGCAACGCGACCCTTCCCGCACGGCGAGGCATCTGACGCGCAAAACGTGCCTAACCAAGGCGCGCGAGAGGACGCCCGCATCAACGGCAACAGGGCAGCCACGGCTGAGAGTTACTGTCGGACAGAGGGCCATGGCTTCATGGGAGAGGGGCCCGCAACTTGAATGAAACGATACACACCATTGAATATCGACAGGCACTCTCTCCGCATGATCATCTCCCACGCGGCGTGACCTACCATGGACGTCAGGGCTCCGCGCGACGCCGACCGGCGGCTCAAGAGGGCCAGAATGGCCTGCCGCAGGCGTGCAAGGCGGTCGGGTCTCACGCGCAGTATCCCTGTCTTCCCGAGAACTGGATGCCCGTGAAGACGCCCTCCGACTGAGCCTCCGTGAAGTCGTGCACGGGCAAGCCTCGAGAGGTCAGCACCTGCGCCAGCTCGCGGGCCTTGGCGGTCGCCAAGGCGGCTGACTGGGACACCGCGCAAAAGTTGTCCACGCACCCCGCTGCCACCAGGTCGCTCTTACTGACGAGCGGGGCGGGCGCGGCTCCATCGGCGAGCTGGCGGTTCGGCTGGATCCCCGCGTCGAGCACGCCGCGCACCAGAGCCGACTGGCAGAAATAGATCGCCCAGTTCCAACCCATAGGCATCACACGCACGACCGGCTGCAAAAGGGCGTGGCGACCCACGCTCATGGAGCCGACGGTCTTCAGGCCCGCGAAGCGGAAGGAGATCGTGGGCAGGCGGAAGAAGCCCCCCAGGTCGGGCGGCACCGCCATGTGGTAGAAGGCGCTCTTGATGTCCCCCTGGGCCACATAAAAGTCGCCCGACGATCCCAGCGAGGCCCGGGCGGGCGGGGTAGGCAGCACGGTGTTCGGCGGAGACTTGAAATAAGTGTTCGCCACCCTCGCGTCGAAGACCAGCCTCAGCTTGCCGCCGCTCTTCTCGACAAAGAAAACCCCAGAGGAGTAGGAAGAAGAAGAAGAAGAAGAAGGTGACGCCACAGCCCACTCGATCACGTGGCGCTGCAGCATCGCGTTCAAAAACTCAGCATACTTCCGAGGATCGCGAAGCAGAGGGTCGACGTAGGGTTGCTGAACACCTAACGACTCCTGAAGCTCCTCGACCTCGCCTGCGGATCTCAGCATACTCTGCCTCCAACCCTGCAACTGGAAGGCATCGGCCTGCTGCGCGACGGAGCCGACCTCGACGGGAGGTCCCGAGAGCGCAGGCCAGGCCACGCGGGCCTTGTCGTAGGGTCTGACCCGCGAGGCGTTCTGGTAGCCTGGGGTCGTCGAGAGCACCTCTGCGAGGGATGCCTCACAAAACTGGCGTTGCTCACTGTGCCCAGGAGGCAACTCAAAACGACGGCAATGCTCTTGCAGCTCTCCGACAACAGCATGCTGCGCCTGAGAGCGGACCACATCCTCACCAGCGAGACGCCCCGCACCAGCACGATCATGGAGCCAGTTGAGAGCGTCGATGCCCTCGTTGCACTGCCGGCGCCAAGCCGCGCCACGAGCCGCCCGCCGGCGGGGCCGCCGACCGTTAACGGCGCGAAGACGATCGCCCGCGTCGAGGGGCGGCAGCGGCAGAGCATCCCGCTGGCGAAGGCGAGGGGCCTGTGGGGGGCCCAAGCCAGGGGGTGGCCCGAGGGGCCAGGGGCTCGGCGAGCTGGGCAGCCCTGGGGCTGGCCCCTCCCAGCTCGCGTCCTCGGGGGGCGCCATGGCGCCCGCAAGGCGCGCTCCTCACGCGCCTTGCGTCGTTCGTTCGATGTCGCCGCCTCGCTCTGCACCTGCTCGGCGAAGAACTGCATCAGAGCGGGGCAGATGCACGCGTTGCCCTTCGTTCTCCCGATCCCCAGGAAAAGGCCGACCTCCGTAGACCGCGCGTCCTGGGCTGTGGAGTCCTTCTTGCCGTGGCCCTTGGCCGCGACGGCCGCTTCGCAGGTCTTCTCGTCGCAGACCCCCCCCCTCGATCAGCTGCAACTGCCGCGCCAGACACTCGAAGCTGGCCAGCTCAGGGATGACGAGCTGGACGTGCGCTCTCGACGCCTCCAGGATGCGGCAGATGGTCTCGAGCTGCTTCACCGCCTCGATCCCTTCGGCCAGCCCGATAAAGGCGAGCCCCCGCGTGAGCCGCGCCACAGCGCCTCCAGCCATCCGAAGCACGAGCTGGAGGACCCCGAGCACCGTCTGAGGCCCCCGAACGGGCCAATCGTCACGCTCGTACACGGACTGCTTCCTGGGCGCGTCGCCGAAGGAGCGGTCGCAGCGACCCCGCGAGACCCTAGCAACCGCCAGGACGCGCGGGTCGCCGCACGGGGGCTCCCCCGCAGGAGGCGTGGCCGAGTCTCCAGCGCGGGCGCCAGGAGGGGTGTCAGGCCTGAGCGCCGCGGCCAGCGCATCCCTCACAGGGGCAGGGGGCAGGAGAGGTGCGGCGGCGGTCCCCAGCGCAGGCGGCGATGCGCCCACCAGCGACCTCGCCGCGGCGGGCAGGGAACCCGCGGGCGGGTCGCGCAAGAAGAGCAGCCCAGACGCCTCCCGAGCACGCTCGCCTCGCCGAGCTCCAGCACGAAGTCCTCGGGCGGGAGCGCCCCAGCACCTCCAGCCACCGCCTCGCAATGCGTGTCCCGCGCCTGGACCGCCGCGGGGAGGAGCTCGGAGCGGTAGACGCTCGCCACCTCGAACCCGTCGACCGCGTCCCCCTGCCAGCTCAGCGGCTTGGTGCCCCTGACATTCCTGGAGGGCACCTGATCCTCGTGGTAGACGTCGCCGTCGGCCGTCATGATGAGCGCGCCCTGGCCGACGAGCCGTTCGCGCCAGAGCCCGCGACCAGGCACGGCGAACCGCGCTAGGTAGCTGCCAGCGGCCATCGGCATCGCGACAGCGGGTGCTGATGCCCTACGCCGAACCAGACGGGCCAGCTCCACCGCCGCCTTCTCGAAGTCGGTCTGCCCGTGGACGGCGCCCTCCTCCTGCACACTCGTGCACGCCGAAGGCGCTGACGGCCTCCTCCTCGCCGAACCCCGCAAGGATGACGACAGCGGACACCAGGAGCCCAGCCGCGCAGCCTTGCAAGAAGCCGAGAGCCCAGCACTCCGAAAGGTGGGCGAGACAGGCGCCGCCGTCAGGAGCCCCACCCCAGCGAGGCGGGAGCAGGTGAGGGGCGGCCAGTTCAGCGTTGGCCCGCCGAGGCACGCGGGACAGGGATCGGCCGCGCCGCGGACTATCACTGCAGTCTGAAGGGAAATCGCGAAGTCGGGCACCGCTTCGACGAGAAACGCTGGCCTTCCCTGAAAGACTTGAGCGAGGTAAACGGCGGCGGATCACACACGCAGACCACAAACGCCTCCTGCAGAGCTAAATAATCATACATATAACTAGAACCACGCGCGCGCTTCGCGCGCGCTTAGGTTCTGTCGGGTCACAGACCCAGGAATCGTTGTGAGAAGAAATTGGTGACGCGAAGCGTCGTGGGGGCGTCCTTGGACGTCTGGGGTCCCCTGGGGCCTCTTGAGGGGCCTCCTGGGGGCCTCCTGGCGGCCTCTTGGGGCGGAAGGCTCGAGCTTGCGGTTCGTGGTCCCCCTCTGGGCCCCCTCTTGGGCCCGTCTTGGGGCCCTCTTGGGCCATCTTGGGCGCCTCTTGGGCCGTCTTGGGGCCCTCTTGGGCTGTCCTGGGGCCCTCTTGGAAGCTTCTTGGGCCGTCTTGGGGCGGTCTTGGGCGCCTCTTGGGCCGTCCTGTAACGTCGGAAAGCCTAAAAGGCGAACTTTGTTGAACATGTACGTTTTACGAAGGGAATGGGTCAATTTTTGCGTCTAGGGGCCCTCTTGGGACGCATGTTGGAGGCTTCTTGGGGCGTCTTGGGGGCGTCCTTGGACGTCTGGGGTCTCCTGGGGCCTCTTGAGGGGCCTCCTGGGGGCCTCCTGGCGGCCTCTTGGGGCGGAAGGCTCGAGCTTGCGGTTCGTGGTCCCCCTCTGGGCCCCCTCTTGGGCCCGTCTTGGGGCCCTCTTGGGCCATCTTGGGCGCCTCTTGGGCCGTCTTGGGGCCCTCTTGGGCTGTCCTGGGGCCCTCTTGGAAGCTTCTTGGGCCGTCTTGGGGCGGTCTTGGGCGCCTCTTGGGCCGTCCTGTAACGTCGGAAAGCCCAAAAGGCGACTTTGTTGAAAATGTACGTTTTACGAAGGGAATGGGCCAATTTTTGCGTCTAGGGGCCCTCTTGGGACGCATGTTGGAGGCTTCTTGGGGCCTCTTGGGGGCGTCCTTGGACGTCTGGGGTCTCCTGGGGCCTCTTGAGGGGCCTCCTGGGGGCCTCCTGGCGGCCTCTTGGGGCGGAAGGCTCGAGCTTGCGGTTCGTGGTCCCCCTCTGGGCCCCCTCTTGGGCCCGTCTTGGGGCCCTCTTGGGCCATCTTGGGCGCCTCTTGGGCCGTCTTGGGGCCCTCTTGGGCTGTCCTGGGGCCCTCTGGGAAGCTTCTTGGGCCGTCTTGGGGCGGTCTTGGGCGCCTCTTGGGCCGTCCTGTAACGTCGGAAAGCCCAAAAGACAACTTTGTTGAAAATGTACGTTTTACAAAGGGAATGGGCCAATTTTTGCGTCTAGGGGCCCTCTTGGGACGCATGTTGGAGGCTTCTTGGGGCCTCTTAGGGGCGTCCTTGGACGTCTGGAGGCCATCTTCAGCATCTCGAGGCCTATTGGAAGTTTCTTGGGCCGTCTTGGGCGCTGGGGCCGTCTTGTCTGACCGGGGAGGCCTCCGGCAAGCCCCGACGAGCCTCCGGGCCCCCGGAGCCCACATTTGTGGTCGAGGTCCCGGCCCCGGGCCCCCGGACCCGGTGCGCCGTTATATGTATATATTGAAACTTGAGAGCAGTAATCAGAATATTAATGAAGTGGAGGAAAAAGGGGGCGGCCGCAACACCTCTCGGTAATCCGTGCTCTCCGTGGCGATACGCGGCAGACCTGCCCAGTGGCTGCCGAGGGCAAAGGCATCACATGCCCTGTGCATTCGGCGAGGCTCCCAGGCGAATGCGGGCTTTGCCCGACACACTCTGTGCTGTCCACCCCGCTTTGGGCATGAAGGGATCTGGTCCTGAGGGAGACGGGTCCTGGGACCGGTGGTTCTTCGCTTGAAACAACTCTTCGTCCCGAGTCGAGCCCTGGAGATCCGAGGCCTGAGGGTCCCAATGGCTTGGAAGCGGTGGAAAAGCGATGGGCCGGTTTCCCTCCCTTGACACCCGCCGATGCGGCCGGACCTTGGACAGAAGAACGTGCGTCAAGAGCACGAGACCCTCCGCCGGCCCAAGCCGCAGAAACCTCGTGGCTGCCCTTCTCTTGGATGCACAAGAGCGTCCAACAGAAACGAAGAACAGGAGGGTACCCTCCCAGCGGCCGACCTCCACCTCAGACCTCGGTAGGACCGTGCGAGACTCTCAGCCCGCGGCTCCCGAGGTCCCAACCGCCTCCCCCAGGTGTATGAAGGGGCCCCAGGACACACAAATAAATACACACAAATAAAACATCCCACATATGTTCACATATTTTCTGGGTTCGTGTCTCCCCCCACACGTCCCATGTTTTCCCATATTTTCTGGGGAATCGACGATTCATTGTGTCTGTGTGTTTTTTCCCCTCCTGAGTGTAGGTTTTCGCTCGGGCGGCTCCCTCTTCGACGGCCCCAGTGCACGAGGAGACGACCACACCGCCGGCTGCCCAAGGAGCCAGATCGTCGGAGATACTGTGTCGGGGCACCCGCTGCTCCCTGGCCAGGCCCATCATTGCACCCGGCAACGGTGAACACACCACGCCCTCCTGGCACGGCCAGGGGGCCGCATGCACGGCTCGCGGGTTCAGAGAGGGCCTGGCCAGGGAGCAGTGGATAGTGTGGGCGACTTCGGAACCCTGGAACCAAAAGCGTTTTTATCCCTTGGGGGAGCATCTTTTACTTCCGCAGCTGGCTTCCGCGGGCTTCCGCCGGCGGAGGCGTCCTCGCTTTACCTCCGCCGACATTCCGCCGCCCTTCCGTGGCGGAAGAGAGGGCAACGCCTCCGACCCTCGACGGCGAGGCCCTTTCTGGAACGCCCCAGGTGTAGACTTTGTCGCCCGAATGGCCAACCCCTGGTCTGCCTCCCCAGATGGGCCCTCCTCCTCCTCCTCCCCCTCCTCCTCCTCCTCCTCCTCCTCCTCCCCCCTACCTCCTACTCCCTCCTCCTCCTCCTCCTCCTCCTCCTCCTCCCTCCCTACCTTCTCCTCCTCCTCCTCCTCCTCCTCCTCCTCCTCCCTACCTTCTCCTCCTCCTCCTCCTCCTCCTCCTCCTCCTCCCTACCTCCTCCCCCCCGAAGGCCGGCTCTCCACCCCGAGAGCCGCCTCCTGGCGGCCCCCCTGTCGGGCGCAGCGGGGGCGTCCTCGCTGCGCACCATCGTCCCCGGGTGCCCGGCCCACTGCTGGTTGACGTCGATGAGCCCCTGGTTGCTCAGGATCGGCCACATGCTGTCCACCTGGAGGTGTCGAGGGGAGGGCGAGGATGAGGTGGGAGCCGGGAGGAGGATGGGGGGGAGGAGCGAGGAGGAGGAAATGGCTGATGAGAAGGTGGTGACATTGAGGAGGGACGCTGAGGAAGGGAGGATGGGAAGGGGAAGGGGGTGGACAGGGGAGGACGACGGCGAGGGAGGAGGCGGGAGAGCAGGAGATGGGGAGACGAGGAGATAGGTCCCTACGAACAGGAGAAAACTCCACACAAGGAGCTCGGAAGTCTCCCCACCGCCGAAGAAGCGGCCGCGATGGCCTTTCACGTACCAGGGGGGGGGGGGACATTCTGCCGAGACGCCCGCCCCGTTCCGTGACGCCATCTGCTGGCCACGTGGTAACCGCCGCTTGTTGCCGATCTGGGGCATTGTGTGATCAGTCCTCGCATCCTCCTCCTCCTCCTCCTCCTCCTCCTCCTCGGATATCCGTTTTCTGGTCGTCACCGTCGTCGTCCTCCTCCCCTCCCTCCCTTCTCCTCTGAATTACTCGTCTCGAACATGTACCTAAAAACAAAGGTTAGCCAGCGTGGACCCCAAACGGCCGGTTCTGGCAATCTACGCTGTGCAACATATGCGGTGCACTCTGCGTGGTGCAGTCTATGTGTGGCGCAATCTATCTTTGTGAAATCTATCTTGGATTGCAACGGACGGTGGGGGTGCCACGGGGCGGCGGCCACGGGAGGCGACGAGGCGTCGACGGGGCGGCGACGGCGGCAACACGGCGGCAGGCCCGGCAGAACGGCCCAAGAGACGGGCGGCGACGGGTGGAGACGGGGCGGCGACGGCGGCAACAGGACGGGGGATCTGACATTTTTTTTTGTCGTTTTGTCTTCGTTTCCCAGTGCAAGATGACACCGAGGCGGCGAGCCTCGGTGTCATTTTGCACTGGGGAACAACGGATCTGACAAACGAGCCCAGACGACGGGCGGCGACGAGGCGGCGACGGGGCGGCGACAGCGGCAAACAGGTGGCGGACCCGACAAACGGGCGCTGTTCTTGAGAAGACAAATCAGAAAGTCTAATGGCAAACGCTGTTTGGGGAATTCGGGAATAAACCGGGCCATCTCGAGGAGGCGCCAGCTGATAACCTGACCTTTTCGCGTTCGGCTGCCCCTCACGTGCCCATGCACACCACTGGCCAACGTGCGCGCGCAAGCCCATGCGCATGGGGGGCGCAAACTTGCGCGCACCGCAAGCACACCTGAGCGCAGCAGGACTGACGCGCGCGCGCGTGAGCAGAACATGACGGTGAAGCAGACTTGTTGAAAAAGCAAAAACAACAAACACACGCAGCAGGACTGTGCAGCACCGTCTTCTGAACGAAGCAGGGCTGTTGATCACGCGCTAGCGCAGCCCGACTACGAATCACACGTGAGCGCAACTGGGTTACGAATCACGCGTAAACGCAGCAGACTTGTGAAGGGCTGCTCGGCGTCTGTACACCACAATGCCAGTGTATATGAAGGTGCCTGTGTGCACCACAATGCCTGTGCATATGACCAGTGCCAATGTACACGACAGGGCCTGTGCACCAGAATGCCTGTGCACACCGTAGCGCATTTGTACACCACTGCTGAAACTGCAACAACACTATCCGTGTTCACCACAGCACCTGTGTGCAGCCGTGCGCACCACAACGCATGCATGCGCACACAATGCCTGTGCACACCACATCTGCTGCTGCAGCGATGCTGTACGTCACAGCGCCTGTACACTCCACGATGCCTGTGTGCATCATATCACCTGTGTGCATTGCGATGACTGTGTACATCACCGGGCCTGTGTGCACATATACCTGTGTGGATGACAACTCCTGTACACACCACAGCTACTGTTGCTGCTACTGCTGCTGATTTTGCTGCTGCGGCAGCAATTGAGCGCGCCACAGCGCTTCAATGCACTTTTGCAACGCGCTGCCTGCGCACGCACTGCTCATGTGCACCTCTGGAGGCCTCCAGGGGACGTCGATGGTGGTGGTGGTCGTCGTCGCAAGCCCCTCTCAGCCCACACGTTGCACCACCGTGCCTGTGGACACCAGCATGCCTCTCCACCGCACCGCTGGTCACAACTCTCCCTGTGGACTCCCTGCGCGCACCCCCCGCGGACATGCACAACGACACACTTGAAGCTATCCGGAAAGGGGGGGCAAACGTGGACCACCGCCAGGCCCTGAGCAGAACACACTCCCCGCGGTGCCGGGCAGATGGGCGCCCGCATGCGCGGTGACGCGCGCGCACGGCGCAGGCGCAGCGAAGGGGGCCTGTGCGCGGATCGGCCCTCCCGGGCAGATGGCGTCCCACGGTGTCAGCAGCACACGGCCCGTCCCCCCCCGGTCGTCTGCTCGTCCGGGCTCCGACCCCAGCCTGGGGCCACCGCCCTGAAGTTCGGAGCAAACATCGCCCAGACAAGGCAACAATCTGGTCCAGAAGGACGGCACCGGCCTGGGCATGGAGGGCCCCTTCCTTAAGAGGGGATCTGCCCACCCCTATCCCAGGGTTTCTTCGAATGGACCAACAATTTTGGGCCCACCTCTGGGATATTGAAGCCTCCCCTGGGGGTAATGTTTCGTTCTGGATGAATGTTTGATGGCCCCGGAACCCCAACAAAAACGTCCCCGGAAGCCGAAATAAAAGGAAAACGCCGGGATCGAAATGACCAACCTGCAGGATGCCTGCGTCCCCCTCCACCCCTTCCGTGTTTCACTGCGGATCCCGGCCGCCAACGCATCCCTCGAGACGTCAAAGGCGAGGATCCTGCCGTGCCGCCTGCGGCACACCCCGAGCGTATGAAGAGCCTCCGGCGGTCTGGCCCGAACGCTGGCATGTGCGGGCCCGCGCGGGACACGTCGCTCGCCAGGCCCTCGCTCAAATACGCACCACGCGAATGGAACATCTCTGAGCGCGCCTGGTAATATTCGAAGTGGTACAACACGTGCTCATAGCCCCACCTCCTCGTGCGATCGGAAAAATACACGACGGAATCAAGCTTCCCTGATTTTCGACCTCTGGAGGCTGACGCCGAGCCCTGGTAACGGCTCAGAATGAAACGCCAATCCTGGGAAAGGGGTCGAGACCTCCATTATTAGGAAACACGACGTTGAAGGTCTGGGTAGCCCCGTGGGTGGAAATAGTTTTTCATTTTGTTTTAGGTGATCCAAAAGGTTCACTCCGACCACAAATACTCGTCTTGGTTAGAGCAATACTAGGGGCCTAGTCACGCACCTCTCTAGAGCACGAGGTGTTCCAAATAGCCACATCCGTGTTCTGGACCCAGCGCTGAACGGCCCGCTTCCGCTGACGGTATGGGCTCCCGCTGGGCCAGGCTGCCAGGCTGGATGGTCCGAATAGTCGGCTCGGCCACCGCCGGCGCCGGCCGACCAGTCACCACCAGTTTTTCACTCACCGTTCTTCTTTCACGAACCACTCCAGACGTCGTCGAATTGCCGCTCCGAAGACCACCGATATATCCAATCACTTGTCCGCCTTAGCCAACATGAATTGGACACCATGGACCAGTCTCCCCCGAGAAGTCTGGGACCCAGCAGCTCACGGAACCGTCGACAAGGATGGTGCCGTCTTCCTTCCCTGGGAGGTCGCTGCAACTACTTGCTCCAGCAAAACTCGAATACCTTTAGCCAGTTTTGAAGAGAGAGAGAAAGAGAGAGAGAGAGAGACAACCATAGAGAAAAGAGAAGGAACAAGAGAGAGAGAAAAAGATGGAAAGATGACGCGCTGCTACTGCCGACATTGCCGTAGATCACCCGCTCATTCAAAATTGAAGCCCCGTTGTTATGCTCTGAACTCGCTAGGTCACGACACAGCGCCGTCCAGCACCATCCCATTGCAACCCCTCCGGCCCGGAGCCTCACCACGAGGCTCCGCTACCAATTATGGCAGCAAAACCGATAGCAATGAGGTCATCAGGTCGTAAACCAAAACGATACCAGGCACATCTCTTTGCACTCTGCATTCATGTCACCCCGCAACGCGAGAAGCAATGTCGACCCAAATCTATATGGCACACCAGAAATACACGACATGATGCGGGATTCCGCACAAGAGGGACACAAGAAAACAAACACAAAAACGCTGACCCAACAAAGGCAATAAATGGAACGCTCGAACTTGTCAGGGCCTCGCGCCCGCGAGGGCAAGCAAAGCAAGGGCAACACCGCCCAAGTTTCGAAACGTTCCCTCAACCGAGAGCAACCTCGAAGCACCACGGAAGAAAGAAGCGAACCGACTCTCCCACAGGATTGCAGGCACGATGACTGGCAGGCCGAATCAAGGGGTGGCGCTGAATCAGCGGTCTCAGCCTGCCTCGATGTGTTCAACCGACGAGGACCCCAGGACAACCAAGAGGCCCAAAAGACGCTCCGAGAGGACTCACAGAACCTGTCAAGAAAACACCGAAGATACTCCGAGAGACATCCAAGAGCTCGGCCGTATCATCGTCCCCCTCATTCTCCTCTTCCTCATCAGCCTATTCCCTCCTCGTCCATCTTCCGCCCCCCGCCACCCTCCCCTTGCTCCTCCGAGTCCTCCTCCATCCTCCCTCTCCTGGGGTATGACGGTTTTCCCAACTCCTCATTCCACTGCATGCTCCTCCGCATCTCTGATCAGGGCAACTCGCCCGGGCATCGTTTTTGGATGGGCTTGTTGGGTGACGCGATGCGTTTGGAATAACAAAACATTGGTATATACCAATAATGCATGTCTAATCTATTATGTTCACACGCACATGCCATAATAATGTAACACGCATACATCTGGACATATACAGTACGGAACAAAAACCTGATGCGCCATCCATGCCATCCATAACGCAGCACAAATATGAACACGTGTATACATGAGATGCGTACTTCGTATGCACGCATAGCACTGTCCAGAAACGACCACCACATGCACGCACAGACTTAACGAACATGCATTATAGTTACGTGAAGAATATGGTACCACACC